CCTCAGGCCAAACACGCAGCTGGCAAATGTCCTAGAAATAGCCAAACGGCTGAGTTTACAGGCAGCAAAAGGAGCAAGAGAGGAGAGGGTGTGTGAGAGACACCAGGAGGCTCTGAAACTGTTCTGTGAAGAGGATCAAACCCCCATCTGTGTGGTGTGTGACAGATCTCGGGCTCACAGTGCTCACACGGTGGTTCCCATAGAGGAGGCTGCCCAGGAGTACAAGGTAGGGAATTGCTATCAAGTTTAATGGGTAATAACTTTGGATTTTAATTACAGGCTAATTTCACTGAAAGTTACCTGGCACAGGTGTGATGCATCATTCAGTTCTGTAAAGCCTTCACTGTATGGGAGATATTATAATAAGTAAATGATCTGCTAGTGTGACAAGAAAGGCAAAAAATGAAGTCTTTAAAGATATCTGACGTGGAAAACTTTTCTCTAAGATTCTCAATCCTTTTCAAAACTACTTTCCACTGTTAATTGAAGCTGTTAATTAGGGTGACCAGACAACAAGTGTGAAAAATCGGGACAGGGTGGGGGGTAATAGGACCCTATATAAGAAAAAGACCCCAAAATTGGGCCTGTCCCCATAAAATCGGGACATCTGGTCACCCTACTGTTAATTGATCAGTAAGGTTTAAATCACAAGAGCTGCAGGCCAATCTATGTGGGTGTGTTACCTTCAGCCTGAAGAAGGGAAGTTAAGAGCTGTTGTTACAGATTTGTTTAATAGAATGTATTATTATTATCTCTATTTGCATCCCAGTAGCCCTAATCGAGCACAAATGAGATCTGGGCCCTGCACAAAACAGAGTGAGAGACAATCCCTGCCCTGGACAGTTTACAGTCTAAATAAGCAAGACAAACAAAGGGTGGTAAGGGAAACTGAGGCACAAAGAGGGGTAGTGAGTTGCCCAGGGTCACCTAGCATATCCATGGCCAAGCTCAGCATAGAACCCAGCTCTCCCCTGTCCCAGTCTAGGCCCAAACCACTAGGCCATGCTGCCACCTCAGTATCAGCCCCCGTGAAGAAGTTTGTCCATTAGGAGGGAAAGATTCCTCGATAAAGGTGCCAGGCCCAGCAGGGAGATGAGGTTTCTCACTGGGATTCTAAACTCCCGTGTTGCTCCATGAGGGATTAAACTCAGATGCTGCCGGCCTGCACTAGAGATCACTGGGCTAAACACTGGGTGGACCCCAAACACCTTGAGTCCACCCACAAAAGGGCTCCAGACAAATAACTGCTGGGCGGTGCTGAACTGTATCAATCTGAACTGCACTAGTGTGTACGTGGGCAAGGACCAGCCAAAGTGGTTCCATTAGCCCCACCTGCAGCCTTTGGAAATCTCCCAGAATGCACTGCTTCTGGGACCTTTACCAGGGAATGGGACAGTGAGGTACCTACCCAGAAGACACAGTCACCTCCCAGCAGGGCTGGTGAGTGGGTGCAGGGCACAGGAGAGAGGGTATCTGGGAGGGTTTGTGGGGGGGGCTCTGGGCAGTGAGGGGGTGCGGGGTGCTAGGCAGTGGGGGTTGCTAGGCAGTGGGGGGGCGCTGGGGAGGTCTGTGTGGGGCACTGGGAAGTTGTGGTGGGGCTGGGAAGTGGGGTGCCTTAATGTTAAAATGACAGGTTTCAGAGTAGCAGCCGTGTTAGTCTGTATCCGCAAAAAGAAGAACAGGAGTACTTGTGGCACCTTAGAGACTAACAAATTTGTTAGTCTCTAAGGTGCCACAATTACTCCTGTTCTTCTTTTTAATGTTAAAAGTGGTGGTATGCCTACTGCCCATGGAGGTAAGGAGCTCCGAGCTGCTGCGGGCAGCAGAGGACCCTGGAGCTCTGAGTCCCTGCAGGTAGGGGGAGGGAGCTCAGACCCGAGGCCCGCGCAACTGCCCAGCCACCAGAGGCAGTGTGGGGATCCCGCCGGGGACACACAAGCTGTAAATCTAGCTCTGTTTCCTCTTCTCTCTCATTTTGACTGGACAAAGCCACGTCCAGTGCGAGTCCCTACCGGACAGGGATAGTGCTCCACAAAACTGGGACTGCGCAGCTTCAAACCAGACAAATGGCCTCCCGACGTCTCATGGGGTTTGACCTGGTGCTTCAACCAGCTCCGCCCAACTAGTGCAGTCCCCAGGGCTGCAGGGATGAAATTCCAGCCCATATTTAAACCCTGGTGGCTTTTGGGATTTTTATCACTTTGTTCATTAAAACTTCTCGATCACAGGTTTATTGATTCACCCCCATGTGACTCCAGAATCCTGTTATGTGCTACACTACTAATCGATTCACAAATACCAATAAAGCTTGGTTACAAATGAGATCTCTCTCTAATTACAAAAATATAATAATAATATTGAACCTGAATTGCTAACAAGTCTGAATATGACACACTCCCAGTCTCCATTAATAAGGTTTCATCTCCTTGGTGGTCCTGATGTCACAAAGTGATTAGAACCAACCAATCTGAGGTTTGGATGGAAAAATACCCAGCTCCACACCCTTCTCAACCCTCCAAATAAAACCTCCCAAATCATTTCTGTTTCTTCAGGAAAAAATCCAGGCCCATTTGAAGATTCTGAGGGAAGAGAGAGAAAAGCTGCTGGGATTGAAAGTGACTGGAGAGGGGGAAAGCCAGGAGTATCTGGTAGGTGCCTGTTGTTATTAACCAGCAGGGATTGGCAGCGGGAGGTCTGTTTGGAGGCAGACTCCTGTGTGGCCTTGGTGAACATGGACTTGTGTGTGTTTCTCCATGATCATGGATTGCTGCGTTAGATTCATGTGTAGACAAGCCCTAAGCTTCCATTTCAGTTAATGAGTTAATGTCTAGCCCTTGTGGCTTTCATAGAAATCCCCCCAGGTGAACTGACTGTCACCCGTGAAGTGCTGTCCACTGTGTCTGGTCATTGCTCGCATTGTTAACAAGTTTGTTTCTTTTAACTCACCTGGCATCTCTGTCAGTGTAGTGCTGAGTCCTGCCACCTGCTGCTCTGGGTCTGAGTTCCCAGAGACCATGAATAACAGAATATGCTAACATGACAGACATGGAAACATCCCTTTCAGAGATACAGGGGCCAAAGGGGAAGGTTTCAGAGAATCCTCTCCCTAGTACCCATAGAGCAGAGTCAAATGTCAGCAAGTTTGGGATTTTCAAAGAAGTTCTCCCTCCTGCACACTCAGCTCCATCCATGTCCCTGACCAGCCCTTTTTCTATTTTTATACAGAAACAAACACAAACCGAGAGGCAGAAGATTGTGTCTGAATTTCAGCAACTGCGGCAGTTCCTGGAGGAACATGAGCGACTCCTGCTGGCCCAGCTGGAAAAGCTGGACGAAGAGATTGAGAGGATACAAAAATGAAAAATTTCAAATAAAACTCTACCAAAGGAGAATTTTCCCCAATCTC